TATTATGAGAGAAAACTAAGCTGTCTGTCCTGCACAGAGTAGTAAGCGGCATTCATTATTGGCACCTTGACAGCCACCTCCTGCGGTCGTGTCAAAAACCCTTCCTGCAATAATCTACCAGTTCTTCTAAGCGGAGGTTCGTCTCACCAAGCCGACTGATCCGAAGCGAGCCACCCTCTGCAGGATTGTTACGTTCTGGTATATTTGTTATGTGATAAGTGCTTGTCGGATGCTATGGACGATCTGCGTAGTGGGAAGAATGTACTCTGGTAAATGGTGTCCATGTAATGGTATAATGATCCTTACGTGCTTCCAGTAATATACCAGTTCCCAAACATAGATATCCTACTTAATGGGCTTAACTGTCGTCAACTTAGTAGTGGCTGAACAATGAAGTGGGTGTAAACTATTAATACCCTGGTCATTTTATAATATGGACATTAAAGGAGTCGCTGATGTTATCAAGGCGACAGGATGTAAAACAAATGCCAAATAATGCATGCGTACGTGTAACATTCCGGTTCGTTCTGATCTACTGATAAGATGGAATGTGACATTACCAAGAAGTAATTTCTTTCATAAGAAATCTCCATAACTTCTATTAAGAATGTCTTACTGAGATCTCTCCAAATGAGACGTGGCACCGTGGGTATATAGTAAATGCACGACCCCACATCCCCTACGGTCCCGAAACTATAATTTCAAACATAAGCGTTTATCCCTACCTACAGATAAACCTTCTTTAATAAATTATAACTGATTTCTTTACCTCTCTTGTTGTATGCATCCTCTACGTATAAAACAAATGTGCGCCCATGTCATATCTCAATAATTACATTAGCAGAAGACAACAGTCGTCAGAAATGCCCATCTCAGAGATTCGCCAATCACCAGCTTGACAACACTGTGACCCCAACAGGTAGTGGAAAAACCGCGGGAAATTCAAATACAGGAAGCAGACGACCGACAAACGACCGGTGGTGGAGCCCGTGACGCGAAAACCGCAGTAGATGTCATGTGTTCACCCGTCGATTGCTCCGCACCGGTAGCAGAACCCCAGCCGATTTCCATAGCTGTACAAACTGGTAAGTTAGCTATTTGCATTTCTCAACTACAGAACTCGTCAATTGCGCTATCCCTTGGAGTTTTTTTTCGTAATTACTGAACATCATAAAACTAATGTATTTGTTTCAAATTCGATAGGTTAAAAATTGCTAGCATCTTGCGATACTTCACTAAGCGTTTAGGAACTCAAGAATATTTTAAATATTGAAAATTTTTCCTCGAATTCAGCAGAATTTTGCACCGAAAAGTACCTGTCACGTTTTAAAGTGTATCTCTAGCGGCCACAGGCAAAGCTACCTCAAAGCACCGAAACTGAGAAATATTTTAAGTTTTACGTCCGCTGTTAGGCGTCGCGGCCGGCTCTCAACACGAAACGAAATATGTCCACACCCAAATTTGAATTTAGATCACCACGTATGACCTCCAGGGGTTTAGGAAGTAACCGGTCAGTATCAGTAGCTTACAAGTATGTGTGCTTCGACATAATCAATGTTTTTCAATTCTTTTTGTATTGATTATCACCGCCAGGCGGCGGTCGTGGCAACGTGAAACGATGCGCGAACCCGCTCTGCGCGTATCGCGGAGAGGACATCGGTGAGGGCGCAGGTTGCGTCTGCAAATCCGGTTTATACGCACTTCAGGGCTTTGACAGGTACGAAATGATACGCTTTTCTATTCTACGGATGTCTGTCAATGTGTATTAATGGAACGTGTATTTGGCGATCTTTGCATTAATAAAATAATTTTGGGATATTCGGAATCCTGAAGTTTTTCGATTACGTCCAGTAATGTTATAAACCTTCAGCGTTCGTGAATCAGTTTAGAGTTGGTAAAGTCCGTTTTCCTCATATGAGTAGAATATTTTTTTAGAAGTTTCGATTTTAGCAAACATATATTTCTAACGATGGTTTTTTATTCCTTTATTAACAGTCAGTTGCCCAGTCTGAGACGGATTAATTGACTATTCTTGAGTTTCGTTTATGTTTAACCTAACGCAAAGCGTGCTTACTGAATAATTAGTTACGAGATATAGATAATAAGTAAAAATAATAATTTTACCTACAAAAGAATCTTTTTCAACAACAAAGTTCTAATTGTACAGCTGTTGTACAGTACTTCATCACAAGAGGGTCCCTAAAGTTTTTCTGCGTTCCAATAGTCAAGTCGTCGTACTTATTAAGTGTTAATATTTTTCCCAAATAGAGAATGGCTTTGCAAATTCGCGTTCTGTTCAATTTTTTTTCAGTAGCCCTGGCATTGAATCGGCTGACACAATGTTTGCCGATGCGTTGAACAGTTCCATGCACGCCGGCTAAAAGGCCATACTCGACACAGGGTCATGCTTCCGTACCCACGTCAGCTCACAAAAGCGCCATATTAATCACATCCTATCTCTCAGCCACTGCCAATACCCCTTCGCAACCAATCTCTTGTCAGGTTAGTTGACCTACTAGGAGTAGACCTAAAAAAGCGTAGGTTGTATGTGTACTTTTTTCTAGTAGTTAAAACTGAGCGTAACTGTCACGTCAGGTTTGTGCAAAGTATGTCTTACATCCAATAACCATAATTGTTTTCACGGACTTGAATAATGGTGTTTTTAGTGTATTTCTCTCTGACTATTCACTTTGTTTCGCATAAATTATCTTATTTTTTTTTAATTATTCCTTATTGTTTTTTATTACGGACACTTTTTTTTTTATAATATCCCATATACTATCTCTCATAGCCTAATATATTCTAAAATAATGATATTCGTTCCGATGTTATATTTTTTTACCGTTTACAACGAACTCCACGAAGCTCACCCGCCTACATTTCGTTACATTTTTGTACTACTAACTCGTGTTCAATTTTAATGTGATTTCAGTTTGTTCACATTGTTCCATAATAAAACGTGCTTGCCATACGGATCACGGATCATCCATTTAGCAGGAAGCTAATCAGTCTTATTTATGAGGCTGATTACACCTCAGCAAGCCTTACTTGGGTCACACACGTGTATAGGTTAAGTAATAAAACACACATAAGCATACATGGATGAAGTCTGATAGCGAGCAATTCGGATCTGAAATCATGCTGTAAGCTCCGAAAGCAAGTAGTAACAAAGCTTGCTTAGGCTAGTTATAAACGAGGGAATTAATCAAGAAAATCTTTTAGCCGCTGCAATTCCACAAATCTGACATGTTATATTAAAACTTTAAGTCAAATTAAACCAGTTAGTTATCGGGTAAACATCGATGATAATTATAAATATTCAAACGATCGTCCTTCGTAGACACCAACGTCCATCTTCTACGAGATCTCTCTCTTCCTAAACTTGCACTAAACTCAATTGTAAACAGGAATTATATACCATATTTTACCATAGGACCGAAATACATCGAGCAATTGTAAACGCGACATTCATGAGCCTGATAACGAACGTATCCAGTGTAATAAGCGAGGATAATGAACCATTTGATGTCACTGTGTTGAAGTTGTGAGCATGCTTCTACCTGAATAATGATAACAGTATCTGTCTAATACTGCTGTTGCTAACCGATTTCAGCCAGCAACAACATCAGCAATCTTGATCTTTCAGATCACTTGTTTGCCTACCAATGCAATCGAATTAAATGCCAATAGCCAATGAAAGTAATAACAGCAACAGTGAATAACAGAAGTCTATAATTGCTCATCTATACGTAATGCTAGCAGCAGAGCATACGAACTATAATGAATGCTTCGATGCGAGCACTAACAACAAGCGGCGCTTTGCGAAACCCCCGAGATCAAACTGAAATAATAAGACATGGTCAAAATACGTGATGGTCTCAATGCCTTCGACTAACAGTGCTTTTTCATAACAAAAACAGTAATGATGTATTGATCCGAGATCCGCGCGGCGCTGCAATCGCTGCCGCAAAATCTGCAGGCAATTCTAATATTGGCTACACAAATTATAACAACTTTCTTAAACATCTTTTGCCGCTTACCCGAGTATTGCGTTCATCGCTTCAAGCAGACGTTTAAAACTCATGCCTATCCAAACTTAACATGCTAATGGCTGCAGCTTCTTACAAAAGTTACGACATGTCTCGCCATCGTTTTCACGTCGTTCCGGCAATATCGCATTAATGAAGATTTTACGAATTTGCAACATTTGTCCGACAGCGGATTGTGGACAAGGTCAATGAAGAACCATCATCTGTTATAATGTAGATATCGGTGTTGAGATCTATTAGATCAGGGTAGGTTGTTATGCAGTATGTCTTATATAATGTATCATGGAGTGAAAATTACACCTACGAGTATAGTAAACTTTACAAAGCTAATTATTAAGGAACATCAGAATCAAGTAACTGGCATTTCGGGCTGACAGCCGCGAATGCGCTATATGTCTTAAAGGCGCAGTATGCCATGCGTAATTATGACATTAGCAATAATACTGACTATAGTTAAAAGTCTAGTTGATAGTTAGCAAAAAGCTCAGTTGATAACTCCGCTGATATTGATTTCATTACACAATGATGTACCCTTTTATAATCAGACATAGATCATCGACACAACAGTGACATATAAAACCTAACACACAGCGACAAGTTGGCCCCTTTGTAAAACGTTCCAAAAAACGAGGTACAAGAAAAGGAGACGACCTTAACGAATGTATCAGATATTTAAAACGAAAATCTACGCGAAAAATAATTTTATAATTATTGGATTAAATTGCAAAATCTATTTCGTCTCAACAGCAGAAAACAGTAAGTGGTTAAGTTATTCGTCGACAGATAAGCTTGAACGAAGCACCAACATTACCATCGTGATTCAGATTTCTATTCTAATAGATAAACGTAAACATTTGCAGATGGCCGTTTTCTGAGGCGGAGAAAAATCTGCTGATCGTCACTACCATTCAAGATCAGTACACCGTATTAAATGGGCATCGCGCCCACTTATTGCCGGTGAGGCTACTGTTTATTTGGAGCTGCTAGAACAACACATCCGAACACAACGATATCTAACCCTACTGGGGGCCTTCACGGTCTTGGGGAGACCCGATCCGTTCAAATCCCAGAGATCGCCAGTTCGCTCGCCCAGTAATAATAAGTAGCTTAATCTCCTGTATGTATGCGATTCGCAATATAACATACCAATACAAGCATTGCGCATACAGTAGCAGAACTACTGATCATATGTATTACATATATTTACTGTGCTCCGCTAGAGTGCTCTAGATATGAACACAGCCGTAGAAACTGGAACAGCAATGTCAAATGAAGCTGGCTTCATTTGGAGCTACGCGCAAGCCAATTCCAGCCCAGCAAAGGCAATCTGTATAGAGAAGGTATACAATAAGACACTGTTAGCTGATGAGAGTCTGCTAAATAACAACATAACAAACAACAATGACCACAAATAAATACAACAAGCCAATGAATTTGCGGCCACCGAATCAAGTGCGAAGCAAATGTTCCTCTAGTCTCCTCCATTTTTTCTCCTCTAATTTTGCTGCTGCTGTTCAGAATGCAGCCAGCAAACGAACAAAGCAAGCAGAGCCAGACACCTTGCCAGCTAGCGAGCCGATGCTAACAAAAATCAATGGTTCCTGACGCTTGCCCCTCTGACCTGACCTAGTTGACCTTGGACTTCGTTGTTGACAGGTCGGGTCACAGGTCGGTTCCATACAAACCAATTGTCACTGTGCAGGTTTCCGGAACAGTCCGACGAGTCGATTCACGACTTGCTATACGACGAACTGGATAACCGGTCGACTGGCTTATTCCGGATCCCACCTTTGCCTGAAGCATGTTGGCATACACGCACACATATGACAAAGCGAATCCATATGACGAATCTTATGGTTCTCCAGAAATCGCTGTGTGACCTCTTAAACAAGATGCTACGGCAAGCGAGCGTTAAAATTGGCGACTGGGCTTCTAAGCTGCACCCCCCAATCGGTGAGTGACACTGCTGCGATGGGGATTACGAATCGCGTATATCTCGTCCGCACCTGCGCTCGACTTCTTTTGACAATTCTCGATACCTGGCTACTCGGCGTTCAGAGCAACGCTTGAGCATTGAATACTGTAGTAATGAGACCTTGTTTAGATTAGCTATAGCGATAATAGTTCATCGAATCAGCGGAAAAACGATAGTTCATCATACTCCTAATGATAATAAGAATGGTAATAACGATATATATATATATATATATATATATATATATATATATATATCAGATATTATTCTCATTACATGACACGATGTAGCGTTAGGCATAGGTCTACATATAACCACTCCTGTTCCTCTTATAGAAACTGGAAATATCAATTTTACAGAAAAGGTGCAACAACGTTAGCGATTTTAGTATTGGCAGCAGCAGCAGCAGCATCCACGGTAAAGTCAACGTATTAGCATCACCTGCAACAACTAGCCCTAGAACGGGTGGAGGACGTTATAATCTGACCGTCTGTTCTGAGCAGCGACAGCGCGCTACTGGCGTTATTCAGATGAGATTCGTGCATCAAACTGCAATAGTTTGCAAAAAAATGCTAAATTTAAAGACAAACAAGTATATTTCCGATAGCCACAACGTTGCAAGCAACAAAATCGCAGTAGCAACAATAGTAACAATAACTTGTACAGCGTCAGTATTTACTGTTATTACACGATAATCAATAGCAACCATTGATAGAAAATGCGGCCACTCCCTAGAGCGCTCATGTAAACTCATGGCTATAATACTTGATTTTTACTGATGATGATACTGGGATTTAATTTTACAGATTTCAGAAAAATTTACAGAATTCTATCGGACAGCAACAAATTATTACTAGTATTATAACAGTAATACCATAGCATCTAGAAGGAGCTGTATTCTGTCGCAGAATCCTTCGCCTTTCACGTAAATACCTGCCCCTTTCACTTTACACTATAATCATAGATCGTAGGGTATATAAAAAATAGACATTTTACGTTAGCGTAGTAGCAACATACTTGCACACGTATCAACGGACGCTGTGCAAAGCTGTACAGTATTCGAAAAAGCTTCAATAGCTAAGAATTCTATAAAACGGCATCAAATATGAATCGAACATCGATTAAATATCGATATCAATGTCAAGAACCATTCTTCACAGAGGTCCTAATCGGCAGCGTTCAATCCTACGTCACATATAATTTTTGTTGGCATAACTGAAAAAAGAAACTTGTTAGCGACTTCCGCTGAACTTTAGCTCTGCCTGTTAATTCGTATAACAAACAGGACTATATCGTTCTACTTGCCACATCTGCAATGACGATTCGTCATTCAGTTCACCTCCATTAATGTTTAACC